CGAAAGCCTCCCTGAAAATGACCTCGGAGTCTGTTTTCGCACGACAGAAGAAGCCCCCCTCTTGTTCACTACGATCTGCCATTCGTGGCGGGAGATCGCTCTGAGCACACCGACATTATGGAACTCCATCCACATATATCTCCCGGTGCCCAGACGACAGGAGGAAGTAGACGATTACTATACCTCGTTGCTCCGCGGCAGAAAGGACGGTCTGAAGCTCTGGTTAGATCGATCAGGCGCTCTCCCGATAACTCTCTCCCTCGCCACGGATTCATCATATGCTGGGTCCGAGGACTTGTATTTCCCCCCACATTGGGGCCCATATCCCAGGCCCTCAGATCCATATCCACCCCTCACTCCAAATCTTCGAACACAGTTTACGGAACTTCTTGCCCAGTATTCCCATCGATGGAAGATGGTTGCATTTGGCAAGGGTGTTGAGGCTTTGGACTTGACCCCGTATGAGAGGCTTACATCAAACGACCTGTCGTCTCTAGAGAGCTTCCACGCTACCGGAAGACTCTTGGACTACGAGCCAAACCCAGAGTTCGGCACCACCAGTAGGCGAAACACTCCTCTCGCCAATATCCTTACTCAGGCGCGGTCTCTCCGCCGGCTCAGGTTGACCGGCGAAACAATATCAGAGGCGACGCTGTCGCTCCCACTTCCCTGGAGTAACCTTACCGAGCTCTATATGCCATTCACGGCATCGGAGACCCCCCGCAGAATCATGCAGATGCTCGCAACCGAATGCCATTCGTTGATCACGCTTTCGTCCGACCTTCACTCTCCATATGAGGTAACTGAAGCAGCTTCTGCTGCTCCGGTTCCGTGGCCTAGCCTTCGAAGCCTTCACATGAAATTTAGACGTGATTGTTTCCAGTTTCATGATCATGGAGGAGCCGTCCACGGTCATGGCACCCAGGCGATACCAACTTCAGCGTTCAACACAGCATTGATGGACACTTTCGGGAGCGTTACTCTTCCCGATTTAGCTAGGCTCTCCGTAGGTTTCGCTGACCCCAATCGTTCTCCCTACTCAAACGATGACGACGTTGGTCCCGCTACTTTCGCTATTGATAAACTTCCCTTCGAAGATCTTCTCCAACATTGCCAGTTCCTCACTCAACTCGAGTTGTCATCACCTCATATCTTCTGCGCAGAGACAATACTACGAGTCCTCCGACCATTGGAAATGCTCGTATCTCTCAGTCTAGGATATAAGAACGTGCGGAGCTACAGGGACGACTCATGGGCCTATCCAATGGGCCATGATGAGGCTGCTATGAGCAGGGGTTGGCTCGAGCAAATCCTCAAAGAGCTCTTACCACCGCCCTCAAACCCCGAACACGGATCCCGAGAAGGCCTTTCTCCGGTATGTCCCAAGCTGGAGGAGCTCAGCGTGAAAAGATGTTCCCCGAAGGAGATCGACTTATTGGTCGACTTCGCGATGAAGAAGCCAGGATTGAGGGTTCTGCGGGTTGACTTTGGAGGGGTTTTCACCCCGGTGATGGGGAGCTATATGGATATGGGAAAGGTTAAAGTACTGAAAGAGGTGAGAGGCGGGGTTACGATGGAATGGAAGTGGGACGAACGGTACTCGGATACGAGGCCACAGTTTCGAGCTCGAGATTATCCCACTTGCGGTATGCCGGGAGGAAGCACTCAGGCTTGTCCTCAGACTGAGGAGCAGGTCACTGCTTTTCCGGAATTCGTCTCGAGCCGGCGAATGTGACTCGCACAGTGTATTGGTCTACCTGACTGAATGATGGGGATGGAGGATAAAGCGGATTCGAAATTTAGTTGGCTTTATCCATACTATTAGTAGTGGTACCCCACAAATAGCCTCATTGCATTCCCGAATCCCAATATTATACATGTTGTCCTTCACTCTCTCAGCTCTTCTCCCAACGTCATGAGCAGATACAACACCATCGGTATCTTGGTATACCCATTGACCGGACAATCGAGCCTGTGTACTAGGATATTCCCGGTCAACCCAAACCCCGCAACCGAATGACGTCCCCATTCCTCTTCCCCCGATAGAGTGCACGAGCATGCCAACCGGTGAGCTGCGTTATTGTTTCGTTGAGGTCCGGTTGCGGTATTATTATCGTTAGGGTACCTATGGATGCGTTGGATTCCGCCACTGCCGTACTACTATCAAACAGTTTTGCTGAGAATTTGCATAGGGGGAGAACGCATCGTAAGACGGGATCTTTGCTCTGGTATAAACGCAAGTGATCGAGGCCAGGCCAGAACTCATGTGGGAGAGTCCCGGTCTTGAACGACGTTGTTGGGCAAGTGCGTGGTACTGGTCGGTCACTCAACTTGAAAACTCAAACTTTTAAAGCATCACCTACGATCACTGACACTGAATTCTGAGTCATGGCAATGAGACTGCTTGCCGTACCCCTCTCGAAAGTGATCTCGACAATGAGCGCTTGAGCAGCGATGAACGAAGCCACCGAAGCGCAAATTTAGCTCACAAGAGATGGGTTGGGGCAGGAAGAGATATATACAAAATGCGCGATCATCTTTTGTTACAAGAAACGTGGGATACACAGTGCTGGGAGGCGGTGGTAGTACAGTATATTTTGTCGCAAACATCCTTCACTAATCCCCCGAACACTCCTTCAGCTCGCTCACATCTCCTGACTCGTATCCTTGTGGCGCCCTACACTTTGTATCCACCACACAGTCCCTCCAAGCAGCGTACATCATGACCACAAAGTTCTGACCCTCCGGGCTTCCTGTCGTGAAGGGTTCGGTGTCGTTCCAGTCCAACGGATTGACGGCAGGGGTCGCAATGCCCTCCCTCGTAACATGCTCTGAGCTCGATGATTCATCCCCTTCCCGCCCATCCCGACCAGCCCCCAGAGTCCGACGAATTCCCTCTGCCCACCGGATATGCCTCTCGCCAAACACCCCAGGCTGGAGCACCGCCATCCGGTATACCACAGCAGCAACCAACGACGACCCCGAAATCTCCCCATACCCATGTCCATCGTCCGACGTATCATCGAGGTAGTTCCTCAACAACCCTTGGTCCATAGGCGCATCCATCGCTCCCTCCACAATCTCCGAAATCCACTCAGTCAACTGGTCAACGGTATCTTTTCTCCACCCTTCTGACGCAATGAGGGATTTGGGGGACCTTATGACCGTGGCGAGGACGCGAGTCATGCCAGCTGCGGCCCATGCATTACCGGTCGACCAGAGGCCAGGGTCGGGGTGAGTGGGACCTACAATATGTTTCCACAAGTCGTCCTTTGACGGGTTTCGGAGAACTTGCCGGTATCGACCACATTGTTCAACCGATTGTTGGAGAAGAGCCAAGTCGTTGGTGGAGACGGCATAGTAGGCCAAGAAAGGTGGTGCCATATATACAAAGTCCGCCCTGTCAGCGAAAAACCATACGATCGTTAGTTCACATGAACCCGCAAGCCACGATGGACGAGAACGAAAAGTGAAGTGCACAAATGGACATATAGCAGACGTGGGACCGCGATCAAAGCAACGTTCGAAACCAAACCGACACTCACCAAAGTTCGGGAGCTTCCACACGATGCGAAATGGCACCGTTCTCCCACCGTGGTGCCTTCTCGATGAGGTACTCCTTCATTCTCCTCGCGGCAGCAGCGTACTCTGGAATGGTTTTGCCCAGCATCACTGCACTCACACCCAAGCTCGCCGGATCGCCCGTGGCCCCATCGCCATCGGCCAACTGGTTTGCTCCCGAATTTTCCCCGCCAAGTACGATCTTCTGGAACGCGTAATCCAACGAGGGCACTTCCTCTTTGCGTAGACTGGGTACAGGGAAAGGTCGACATCCGAAGACGGAGTACGAAGGACTGTGAAGTTCGAGGAGAGCTTCTGAGGCGGTACCCCATTCCCAGGAGTGGGAAGGTAGAGACTTGGCAAGGGATGCGACGTTTTGGATGTTGAAACCGGGCGAGAAGGGGTAGACGCGGTTAGCAGCAGCGAGCGCGAGGCCGCTATTAGCAGCTCGAGATAGTATGGCGAGTCTCATGGGCGAGATAGTGTAGGTGTGAGTGAGTGGTGGTATAAGTACGAGCGATGCGAGAACGGGTGATCGCTGCCAATTTCCAAGCAATAAAACCGGAATTTATGTAGTGTCGATTTGCCTCCGATGTCATTCCGATAACCTGTCCACATGCAACTCTTCGAGTTCTACCCGCGAGATACATCTGTCAGAATAGCGGCGTTGAATTACGGGTTACTAGAATGGTTCCTCCCCGATGCCTACACACTCACCGGCTTCAATGTCATATCTAATGCTAGAGAGCCTGACCAGTAGTCTTGTGGCTTTCTTTGAGCATTTTCAGCGATGATCATATGGCATTCCAGCCTAACCAAGGCCTAACCCCGCTTCATCAGTTGTTCTTCATCAGACAACCAATGGAAAGAAGTTTATCCTCTGCGGTAACCTGGCGATGTGGGAGTTGGAAGTTGGAAGTATTGTTCATCAAGACAACGGGAAAGAAAGTACCTGGAGACTGAAGGGCTGGAACTTTCAGGCGGCAAGCTACAGCGTCTTCTCGTAAATCCCAAGTATTCGAGATCCGCAAGCTCCTGAGCATCCGGAATAGCCATCGTAGCCTCATGCCTCGGTGGCCCTCGGCATTGTATTGATTGAGACAGGTGAGCAGGTGAGTAGAAAAATGGATATAAGGCTTCGTATGTGGCCACCACAATCCAAGATTCGCACTCGTCGTGGTAGCGAAACAACCATGGGAATTTTACAATCGTGGTACTAGTAGGCGCTGGCACATACTGGTGCCATGTGCATCCGAAGCGCGGTCAGAAACCTCGAACTTCAACTTGTAATAATGATTTTTACTTGGTTAATTTGCCTGATTTATATGTGGTCATCGTGCACTAGCGGTTGAGTGGCGGAGAGCATCGTAGCTGATGGATTTTCGAGAAAAGTCGACACATCTCAGGTTATATATTGGCGGCGTCGATCATACCTTAACGGCCTGATGGTCTAGTAGTATGATTCCTTGTTAGGGTTCGTCAATGTACGATCTTATCGAGGAGGTCCCGGGTTCAATTCCCGGTCAGGCCCCATTCGTATGACGATTGCAGTCTTTTTCTTTCGATGCGGAACGAAGCATGCTCTCTTGCTTTTGCTGCCAACCTGAAGTCGCTTTGGAGAGACCATTCTACCTACTTCATCATGATCGTATCGAAGTGCCACTCATATTCCCCATCTACCCCTACTCCCCTCTCCGAGGTGTGGCAGTGGAGCTCGGGGCCGGGTCACGGAAATCTGGGGAAAGTGATGAGGCTCCGGTACGCTGATGCTCTCACACACATGCTTTGTGGGCTCGAATGGGTCCAACTTGGATAGTTGTTGGATCGAGTTTGCTACTTGAACGGCTGAAGCTCGTGCGGATCATTGTGGTAGTATGGTAATCATGAAAAGACTGCAACACCGGGACGCGACGCGAACGCGAATAGCCGGTTGGGAATGGCAGCCGCTAAGCAGACTACATGCTGATCGGGGTCAACCGAGGTCCAAGGGATTGTTGAGGCTCCCGAGCACCTTCATGTACTAAAGCGTGTGACCGCTCTTTCTCCGAGGAGCTTGATTGCGATTTGTATCACACCAGATCTACAGCACCCATGGCCAAAGCTAAGAATGGAATGTATTCATCGTGGTATAAATACTGTACCTCTACGCCGCCGCCCGCTCAGGTGCACCGGTAGCATGGGAACTACCCCGTGGCTGGGCCCACCTTAGGAGCGCACACTGCTGGAGGGAGGTATGTTTCGACCCGGACCTCCGTTCCATTGCTTGAACATGAGCTCGATATGTCTGAGTAATCAGAGACTGTAGCCGTACTAAAACCCTCGGGACCTCGGAGATGAGTCCTCAAGAGCCGCGCGGCCCTTGTTCTGGTACTTACATAGGATTCTGCAGGGCCACAGTAAATGATCCAAACTGTTTTACGACCAGATGTATATTGACATTGGCTTGGGGAAGTTCGGCATGTCGGACTTCCGAGGGATTTATCCAATCCCTAGGAAACACTGATAGGTACAGCGTGAATAGCTACAGGAGAGTGGAGACCTCCGAGCGCCTTCAAACCTTACACAAATACCTCCAGGCGGGTCCGGAGGCAACTACACAACCTTCTCCCCGCGACACTACATACACTGTAACTCGATGATCCATTTCTACGAACTAGCCCCAGAGGCATCAACGGACTCATTATCGGTAGGCTATCTGCCCTTCACTCGCAGTGTATTGTAAGTAGCTTCTTCACGTTAAGATACACGTCCCGGACTTCTTCACAGAATCTCACGATCAACCTCCCGCCGCTGGCCATGTCTAGACTCATTCTAAACTACAAACGAATTCCACACGAGAGGCACAACATCCTCCGCGACGACATACAACGAAAGACCGAGTCTCTACTGGCTTTATGTCCTCCAAGCTCCAGGCAGGACTCTCACACTCGGTCTTCCTACTCGATCCCTTTCATCCACGACTCGGAGACGAACCTTGTCATCTCCGATCCGCTTGAAATCGCCGACTACCTCGACGAAACATACCCAAGCACTCCGAGGGTCATACCCGCAGGAACACGGGTCCTCCAGTACGCATTCACCAACACCGTCCTCTCAAATATGTTCGCGCTCTACCCAGTACTCCGTCCCGAATTCAAATCCCTCTTGTCTCCCGAGCTTCTCGCGAGACAGCGAAAGTCGCTGGGTAGCAAGATCCTCGACCTGGAACTCGAGACGGAGGAGGCGTGGGCGAAGGTCCGTGGGAGTTTCGAGGCTCTCGGGAGAGCGTTTGGGAAGCAGAAAGGGACGTTCGTTATGGGCGGGGAGAACCCAACGTTTGCAGATTTTATTGTCGTGTCGTTTGTTTGGTGTGTGAATATAGTCTATGGGGAGGATAGCAGGGAGTGGAGAGAGACTTGTGGGTGGGCTGATGGGAGGATTGGACGGCTGTGCGAGGAGGTGAAGCTGATATGTAGGTAGAGGGGATAGAAGTGAGCAGACGATTTTAGTTTGATACCAGTGGACATTGATAGGACACCCCACTCGTACCTAGAGCATACCACAGTTGATTCTTACCATCCTCGAATTGTGAAAAAAGGCGTCAGCCGAGCCTCCGTTCGGCTTTGCACACGGGATCGAGACCGTCATATCACCACCAATAAAAAGTCATTAAAACCACAACAACAAACCCGAAAACATTGATTAATAAATCGAAGAAAGTCCAGGTGCATAACCAAAAAAGTCCGATGACCGCGTTCACCACCCCAAAATACGTATTCTCACCTATCCCCTTCCGAACACCGTTTAGTGACTGAGAGCCAGAACGAACGACTGTGACTCCTTAGCCTCACAGGGCTGGGGCGCGTTGGCACTGATGTCCAAGCACCTGCTGCCGTCGGCGACCGAGACGGAACAGACCTCTGCCAGGAACTTGGAGGAGGACATGGGGTCGGCAGGAGCGCAAGCACGGCAGTTGATGTTGAAGAGCTGGGTCCTATCGGGAAATCAATCGTCAGCAACGGCAAAATCATTATCACGAACAACATACTCGTCAGCTCCAGTGACATCGACAGGCGTCAACTTCAGGTCGTTGTTAACGAAGGTTACAGCATCGTTAACGTCGTGAGCATCCCTGGGTAGGTTTTTTCGAACGCATCAGCACGCCAAAATCGATAATCATAGCGAGGAGGGGGGAGGGGTATCTCACTTGATGATGAATTTACTGGGAACTTTCCCATCCTGTTGGATGAAGAAGTGCCTCGCATTACCGACGAACAGCTCCAAATTCTGACTCGCAGAGAGAACGCTAATCTGCTCCCCATTGAACACGGGAGTACAGACATCGCTCTCACGCTTCTGGAACCCGCTTCCGGGAGCCTTGACGAAATCAAACGCCTGAGCCGCGTCGGACACATCGCAAGGCTTGAGCTGTGCGACCTGGGCATCGTAACAGAGACCGGTGCTGACGGATTGGAGGTTGCACCGGCCACCAATAACGCCATTGTTGTCGCCACAGGCGTTGCAGTTGACGAAGAAGAGTTGGTTACTTTAATGAGCACGGTCAGCGGACGAGGGGACAGTTGGCGAACGTTCCATCAGAACTTACCCGGCGGTGCCAGTAGCTGAAGCAGGCTGAAGACCGAGCAAGTTGTTCCCGACGACCGTCACAGCTTGATTGGGGTTGTTGGAGTTCCTGCGAAAAAAAATATGGATCTGAATGAGTGTACACCCTCCAAGATGAATGCGAACTACACACTTGACAACGAAGCTAGTGGGAACTTTGCCATTCTGCTGGAAGAGGAAGGTAGATGCACCTCCAACACCAAACGACGCGTCCGAGTCTGAAGACTTGACAACGATAGGGAATCCGTTGAAGTTGGGAGTGCACCCCGCGGCGCGAGCGAGAGGCGTGGCAGAGACAGTGGCCAACAAGGAGGTGGCGGCGAGAGTGAAGAACGTGGAGATCATCGTAAAAAATGAAAATAGAAAGAGAAGCGTAGAAGAGCAAAGAGGTCAAGCACCCAAGAAAGTGTATAACAAAAGGCCTCGAGTTCCAAGGGAAGAAAGTGAAGTGAGGAACAGAGGAGGGACGAATGGTGGCTTTTATACTTGTTCTCTCCTGCAAAGTCCTCAAAGCTGAGAGACTCGTGGGTCTATGGGCGCCCTTCCGTCAAGGCGAACTCGGGAGCGCTATCAGTATTGGGTATTCAAGAAACGGCCATATTGGATGGGCGGGAGGTGGGTAACACGGCATTGGGTTCTAACCCTACAAGCGATGAATAGCGATCCTAGGTTTTGCACTGGTTTGGGCGTAAGAGCAAGGCGGTCGAGGGTTTGCACTTCGAGGTTGAACGAGACGGGACGTTCAACACACTCGTCGCTCCTCTGAGGCTGAATAGGGGACAGGGTAAGCACCGGTCTCAACCTCAGGCACGCCCTACTCTGGAGTCCACAGAGCCTTGGCCAACAGCCTGGCCGGCCATGTATCGCCGTAGCCCGTGCCTTCGTACTGTAGTCAGCACTTCTATCTGGCGGGGTTGAACAGACAGGAGTTTGTAAATGGCCGCTCACCTCAAGCCCTCACAGGGTGTGGCTACTCGCTGCTGTGTGGACCTGCGACGTTGCGGGGAGATGACCGCAGAAGTTTACCCGCCAGCGAGATTACTGCAACCCCTTTGCTAGTGGTCCAAAATCAGAAAAAGTGCGCGCGGAGCAGTAATCATGGCAAGAGAATTGAACAAAATACGCTAAATCATCATTGACTAGGACGGATATGGGTAGCACAAGACGTCCTCGCATACGAGATGGTGACCAAGAAGGTCTGTCGAAGTATTCAGCATTCAATCATCGTGAAGGGGCCGCCTTTCTCTAATGCCTGTGATTGACTTCGAGGTTAGATCGTTGGATGAGCCTGGATGCTAGATGCTAGATGCGTACCCGTTTGTAAGCAGACCTGTTATGCCCAGGGGAGAGTCGTTAGGAACAGCAGAAGAGAGAGCTTGAAACTCACCTCTCGTGGATTGTTTTCACATACGACCTGATTTCCTCGCTGATGGCTTCCTGTGGCGCTCGAGCAACGAATGCTTCGACGGTGTAGGACATCATAAAGTCTGCTGCTGTTGGCGAACTCCTTCCAGCCAGGAACTTCTCTGGACCGACAGTGAGGAGACGGTTCGTAATCTTTACATATGGTTCAGAGTTGATGGCATACAGCCAAAGCAACAGAATCCAATACTTACCAGCTTGCCAAGCTTGAACAAGTTGGGGTTGATGTACTTCTCCCGGATAGATTTCATGTCTTGTCCATCGGCACCGAACTTGTAGACCTCCGTGAATAAAGGCATCATCAAAAGTGGCTGTAACGAGCCCTCCGCAAGATGGGTGTCTTCATAAAAAGTCTGAATACAACCACCGTATGCGCTTCATAGCGTAAAAGAAACTCACAGAATAGATCCTCGGACCATCCATCGCTTCCAGGTTCAATGTACATTTCAGTGTCCTTCCCGTAAATTGTGATCAAGTATTCTGAGCGGGAAATTGTCAATCCCCGAA